ACAATTACTAACAAAGTGGGCTTTACAAACGTTAATTTCTATTAGTAATTTCAAAATCAATTACAGTAGTCTCGAAAACTCGACCTAATGTGGACCGAAGGGTGGCCGAGTTTATGAAAATGCCGGGTTATCGGGAATGGGGTTAAAAAAGGATAAGTATGCGTGTTTCCTCAGAAAATACTGTACTGCACTTGTATGTATTGTTTGCTTGAGAATACATTAGAGAATAAACTGCCTAAATACCCTTAAACAAAGGAAAAGTACGTCCTTTATGAAGGCATAGAGCCTTTACTACATGAAAATGAAAATTAATGAATACACTGTGTGCAGTAATTTACCTGATAAGACAGACCTCAGAAAAATACTTTATGAGGCATAAAGCTGTCTATGATGAAAATTAATTATCTAAGGGTATTTTTGCTCTGCCAGGGTGTGACCGAGTTATCCGGAGTGCTGGGTTATCGAGTGCCGAGTTTTCGAGACACTACTGTATATTCTCAATTTTTTAGTTCTTGTGGTATCTTAATGGCGGCGCTACAGTACGGGAAAATACACGAATCTTCTCTGGAAACTTGTGGCTAGTTCTCTTTTATTACGTCGTTAACCAAACGCCGTTTTGAATCGATATAACGTGACTTCCGGTTTGCATAAGTTCGTATACGATTAATCGAGGCCTCCTGCCCCTAAGCTTTCCGTGTCTGGTTACGGCCTTCATCTATATAACTCCGTTCTCGAGATTAAAGGACAGACGTCAGTGGGAATTTATAAGTGTACAGTTTTTTCGAATTGCAGACAAAAAATTCTTACTTCTTAATTAATACCGGTTAAACCCAGTGTTCGTCGCGGTTTTGGGTAGGCTTCGTAGATGCAGTCAGCGTTACTTGCTGAGTCATTCGTAACAAGGTACAGTACAAGACACCTGTGCGACCCACCACGGCCCTGTGGATCGCAAACAGATGCGAAATACGTTACAAGGAGCTTGGGGTCAAATAGGAACACTTGACTATAGGCCTAAATGTGTTTTTCTTGTAAGACGGCAGATTACAAGATTACAAAAATACGCGGTGGTATTTTTATTATTTTTTTAACATATTTTACATTGTACCAATTAATATAAAGCACGAAATATGTAAAAGTGGATACACTTTTTATCTTTTTCGTTATTAGAATAACTTCTGCCCGCATAATAAAGTACACATGGTTTTTTCGTAAAAATGACCTCGAGTATATTATAGAGTTCTACCGTATAGACTTTGGGAATAAAAACATACCCTCTAAATTCTATTATTTTCACATTTATCTCTTTTAAATGATAGTTGTTAGCGGGTTCTTTGTTAAGATTCCCAACCTCTTACAACTTCCGGTGGCACATATAAATGCGTAATACAATTTTTAAACGAGTTAACGTCGAGTAAATGGAAAGAGCTTTTCTAGGTGAATAGCCTCGGCCGGACGTAGGTTCGTAATACGGACAGATGTGGCCTAAATCGGGGCAACGTTACGCTTCGTCCGCCCGGACACTAACTGGCCAAATCGGAATCTATTTTTCCAGTCAGTTGGGTAACGACGACACTTTCCGGGTGGATTTCTCGGAAGAGTGACGTCTACGTCCTTCGCAATTGTTACGGTACGATGACTTATCTATTTATGGCGTGTTTACACAAGGAAAGTCAAATTCGTTAGGAAATAACCACGTTTGAAGTTATACGAATTTACCGGTTGCGTTCTTCGTAATAATCGCTCGGACTTCCTACGTTCGTTGCTTAAATTGTCCTTTCCTGAATAAAGGAATTTCTTACGTAATCAATCGGCGATAAATATTAATTAAAATAGAAAATAACATTTATATTCTTAATCCATAATCTTAAAATCCTAGTTTCTACCAAAAGAACATCCGGGTATCCGCAGGGCGAAATTATATTTCCGAATCATATGAAGTTTAACGGAGTGGCATCCTATCGGAAAATTTGACCTTCTTAGCAGTAACCTACTCCCAGTTAACCTCGTTTAATACAAACCACTTCGGGCGTTTTAAACTAGTCGACCGAACTAATATCGTTCGTATCAACAGGTCGTAGTACAGTGTTAGTTCGGTAAAGGGTGGGTATAGAAATTTCGGATTACTCTTACTTTACCGCGCGCTAACTTAAAATCTCATTCGAATTACCTGGAGGTGGGATGAAATCGATTTAAAATTACTCGGGAGTAACTCGAAGATGTTTTACACTATTTCTAACAATTTCGAATTACCTCCTTGACGCGATCTTCTGTTTATTTACATACTATATTTGTGTTTACACAGGAAATAAGTATCTTAATAATAATGGTAAATAGATATTTTTCGTGCCCGTAGTTTATATCTTCAGTATTTGTATAGCTATCTGATGTTTATATTTACATACAAACGTAAGATATGGTATGTTTGTATCCTTTCTTTGTATAAGTAATATGTCTTGTACTTTAAACCACAGCAAAATTGATTTTAATACGTTTAAAATGTTAACTTTTTCAGATATTGAGAATAACTTTCGATTTTGTACGTCTCTAAAATGTAAACAATACAGATAAGTATACAATCGATTTCGAATTATCAGGAGATAACTCAAATGGAGTTTTTTCATGTTCTCGAAAAGCTCTTTTCTCCCCGTGTACACTGGGAGAAAAGCAAGCAGATTATGGGTTCGGCCAGGCCCACAATGGGGCGACCGGGTGGTGAGGGATGGGGCACGGCATAGGAAGAGATTTTATTGCATATTTCAAAGGCGCTCGAATCGTCTCAAAATAGCACTAAGTGAAGATGCAGCATTAGAGTCAAATGAGAAAACTCGCACGAAAATCGCGTACAATATAAAGACTCGGAATTACAGCTTCACTACTAAAGAAAGGGAGTTAGCGTAGGAGAAGGAGGACAATGAAGAGAATGTTTATTGTTCGACGATATTTTGCAAAAGTTATGGGGGAAAAACCTACTTCGTTTCTCATTTTTACGTTCTCAGAAATATCCAAAAAAAAAAAATAATATAGTATTTAATTGGCCTGAATTAATTAACAAAAATATGTAAGTATACAATTACTTTAAGACGGAATTTGAATGAAAAAATTAAATTATTTAAGCGTAACTTACTTTGACATAAGATTTACAAACTATTATTTAGTACTTAACACAAAATCCATTTGTCAGTTTTATGAATATTGCTTTACAGATGAACCGAATGGGTAAACTCTGGTAACTTACTTGAAATATTGCTCAGACTCTATTGGATACTCATGCGCTGGCCGTTTTGTAAAGACCCGAAGCGTAGTGAACGCACGGTATGCCGTAAATTTGTCGTATTAACTAACGACACTTTCGTGAATTCGAGCCCAATTTTACAAATTAGATTTAAAAAGTAAAGTTGTTGGGGATGCGGCTCCAATCATCGATAAGTTTTTAAATAAAAATGTTTATTACTTTTTATTGCGTTAATACGTAACAAATTATTTTTAAAAGGGTTTTACCCACACAATTTTTACTTTCTGGGCTGTTATATTGGACTTTAAAGTATGGCACGGGTCAAAAACCCATCCTCAGGATTTTTACATTTTTGGACTCGGGGACAAGCGTAGAGAAATGAAAAAAACTTCGAGTTTCTGTTCTGTACGTGCGGATGTCAGCGTGTGGGGGAGACAACATTACGTTCACCTTCTTCGAAGCTCGATAACTGCCGTGCCTTTTTTGAGAAATTTCTGAAACTTTGCGGGGATGTGGGTGTATTAGGGGAATGAATGCTATTAAATTTTCGTAGTTGAAAGTCGAGCGGATGGGGAGTTATAGGGGTGGACGTGTATCTGGAGTGGGATCGAACTTAAGATTTTACTGGTTATTAGCTTTTATGTTTTTTTTAAATCAAAGTTGTCACTACCCTCAAAATTAACCTTTTCACATTTTATGGTAATTAATAATACAAAAGGTATTTAAAACAAAATGACGTAACAGATGGCGCTATAAATAATTTTAAATTTTTTGCCGGGAAATGTTACGCAACTGGTTTCTGAATTTTTTATTTACAATTCAGTTTCGTCGGTACATTATAGACTGCGACGAAAGCCTATCGCTTCTTTTTAATAAATTTTTAATAATTTCCTGGCCCGTCCCAAAATTCGACGACGAAGAGAGATTTTCTTCTAATCTTTCGAAGGAGTAAAATTACTTTTTATTCTTTAAATTTTTAATATTCGGCGGAAATACTCTAGTTCCAGACGACAAACGACGTATTTTACAATTGCAAGTAAATTCTGCAAAAGGTGTTTGATTAGTCGACCGTCGACGCGTAAACGAGTTTATCGAACGTAAAGGAGGGATAAAAAACACTTGGAAAGCCACCGTCTGTCATTTTGATGGTAAAGGGAAGCGACGTGGGCGGGCTGTAGGACGAGGAAAAGCACTTTCTGGGAATAAACTTTCAATCGGACTCCGTCCGGTCGAAACACGGAGGTCGGGAATAAACGGGCGCGTAACACCGTCCGACCAATGCTCTCCCGGCCACCCATTCTCTTCAATTTTTTATCGGTTATCGTCCTTCTATACTTTTTGGGGTTTTTAAATTTCGTCCGGTCGAATAATTATTTTATTCCAAGGTTATTTATTGGAACGGTGACGTAGCTACGCGATTATTTTCGTCGCCGAAAAGTAGACGTAACGACGTACGCGGCCAAGTTTTTATTGCTTCCAAGGCGGCTATTTTCGTATGGCGTTGGTTTACCTAGTCCAGCTATGTTTGTCCATCCGCGGGTCGGGCGGCGACAATTAGCGGAGAATATATCTTTGGTCGTTTCCGAATTTTTGTGGGGGAGATCGGACTCTCTGGCGCTTCACCGGAAGCGAAACGACGTTATCCGCCCGTTATTAAATTTAGAACGGGTGCGACGCCACTGGTCTAATTATAGAAACTCACCGGATTGGATGTGGTCGACTACGTTTTAACCAGCTTCGAACCGACGTAGCCCGGCCGACTTTCCGCGACGAAAAAGGAAATTCCAGAATTTAGAGATAAGGTTTATTTCTAACAAATATATATATATAGGTATATATACACATATATATGTATGTATAGAGCTAATATAAAATTGGGTGAGGGACGGCGACTCCGTCCGCCATTTCCGGATCCAAAAGATTTTTAAACCTGGAAACGAGTAGAAACGGTTAAAAATAAGAGGGGTCATCCTCCGAAACGGGTATAAACGTCTACCGAAATGCATCCTATAGAAAGGGGAGGCCAAAACTGCCTCTGCCGCAGGCTGAGTCGGCGGTCGATCAAGAGGTGGCCAACACCAAGACGTTCTTTCGTTGGAAGGCGGAGAACAGGCGTTTTAACTGTTCGTAGGTGACGAACATGCAGACGTTCCAAGAGGCCAGCCGCACAAAGGATGGCACGAACCTGAAAAGAGGCCGGTGTTCAGCGGAAAAAAGCCCGAGAAAGAAAAAGTGGCGGAAGAGACTCACCCTTTGTAGAAAGCCGTGGGTCCTCCTTCCGCCAACATGCGGGCGGCGCAGTCGACCACTCCGCGGTAACTGCCCAGGGGAGAGTTCATGTAGCGGGTCTTGACCACGTCCACCGGAGAGGCCACCACGGTGGCGCAGAAGCCGGCGGCGAAGGCCGAGGCGAAGTGGCAGGGGAGATTGTCCGACATGTAGCGACGGACGATCAAGAATTCCTTGACGCAGTCGTAGCACACCAGTTCGGCGGCGTTGATGATGGCGTTGCGAGTGATGTTGGGCACGGTTCCTGCGAGAAAAACGTAATCTACACATCGAAGAAAGAGTTACCAGCGAAGACCGAGCCGTAAAATCTCCCGACTCCTCCGTTCGTCGGAAAATAGCCTTTTTGCTTTTACGACTGGTCTTCGTGTATTTAACGCTTTAATTTAGCCCAATAACGCGCTTCTCCAAAAGTAAAACTCCCAGACGGAATAGGAATAGAAGGATCCGTTCGTATTCCGTTCTACTGACCCGCCTCCGATTAACGTAATTAATCTAAATAAATGAACAAACTTAAAATTAAGAAATGAAAAGGAGACTAGGAGCATGCATCGACCCCGTTTCCTGTCCGAAGATCGGAATAACGGCGGAATTACAGAGATACGCGGTAACGCTACACCGGGGTTTATTCCAATCATCGGTGCGAGAAACGGAGATAAAGACAATAGGAAAAGGGAAAGCGTCGGGTGTCGCCAAATTCCAGGAAAATTTGGCGACGTTCCTCCTTTACGGGTGGGTCCCGAAGAAGCAGAAATCCGGCGACGGCCATCCGCGGGTCTCCTCTCCGATGGCACCTCTGAAGTATCGACGTTCCCGTCGTTGGCCCGTGGTCCACACCGGCTCCGACGGGAGTGTTTTTTTCCGGGATTCCGTTTCCGGTCCGTAAAAATGTGCAAAGCTGATTATTCCACGACATCCGGTTCGGAACTTCCTTTACCTGGCCACGGAGACCGTAATTTTCTACTTTGGCTGCAATACGGACGGCACTAATTTTCCAACCGGGCGTCCGCTTTAGGAATAGGCTAATTGTTGACGGACGACCCGGTACCGGGCGGCTTCCGTTTCCGGTGGAGGTTGCGCTTTCTTCCCAGTCTTCCTGAGATTTAAACGGGTCTTCCAGAAACTCTTCTTTGGGTTGGATGGAACCCAGACGTTCCGTCGTCTCGTTCCCACGGAGGTGGCGCGGTCGTCCCCAGCTCCCTCGTCTCCGTCCGTCCTTTTTATTTCCGTCTCCGTCGAGGCGCCGGGCCTTCCCGAAAAGAGAGGCAAGGACATCTGCCAATTTCCGCGGACGGCGAACCCGAATTAGACCGGACGGAGGCTGGGAGGAGAGACCACCGGCTGCCGAAAAGAAAGTAAAAAATAAAACCAATCAATCTATATTTTAATGGGGAAAGTCCGAAGACAGTCGAGTGATGGATTTGCGGTCGACGTCACACGTCTTTCCGCGCAATACTGGGTATATCGCGCGATGGTAGAACACAATTTGGTAAACAAAGAAGACCGATACAAAATGAAAGAGGAGCGATGACACAGAAATAACTGCCGTAACATTTCGATGGAAAACAAAATACAGAAAATAAAGAAAACAAAAGCTCTTTAAAACGAATAAATAATCTTCTTCGTCTTGGAAAGTTTCCATTGCGTACAGAATTTTGCCAATTTTAGCCACACAAAATTTTTCTTCTGCTTAGGTTCGAAAGTAAGATCGCGGCTGCCATGCACCGCGAATTACCATCCGGCCGTTATGGCCGGACGTAGAGAATTTTCTTGGGAGACAATCCGGTAGTTTACCTCCGGGAAGAAAGTCCTGTTGTCTGTCTTTTCAAAAAATTTCAGTCCCAAGCCGTTTCCTCCTCTGCAAAAACAAAAATAATACTTGCGTGGTTACTAGATTCCGGACCGGACGTTTTGTTCCGCCCAAGTACAGATGGAGTGCGGGGAAGAAACTTACGTTTTGCCACGTCGTCCCATGAAAGCTCATTTCGAGTTACGCTGCGGATCCTTTTTTCTGTCTGAAAATTACTTTAACAAAAATTACTTCGTAAATACCAGGATGACAAAATTTGGGAAAATCAAAAATATTTATCATATGAAATATTCGATCCGATTCGAATCGCTTCTTAATAAACGGCGATTAAATCGTCGATGCCCGGAGACACTCTCCATATTTCTTTGAGAGTTTCGAAAACCGGAAATGCACCGAGCGACGTCGTTTCTTCTCCATTCGAAAGTATTTTCGTGGAAAGAACCGCGCCGTTTCCCTCCGACCGGAAAACTCGGAGTCCGAATCGAAACCGTCGGCCTCTGTTGCCGCCAGACCCAAGGAGATCTCGTCCCCGCGGAAACCCTTCTCTTAGCCCCCCAATCCAGTTAAGATTCGGACTCTGAGTAGTCTCGGCCGTTTCTTTTGCCGAATTTCCGCGGCCGCCACGGCGAAGGAGAGGAATCGAAACCTACCTTTCCACAGACCGGCCAGTCCCTCTTGTCGCCCGATGGTCTTGTAGGCGTGGATAGTTCCGGTGTATCTCTTGGGCTCGTTGCCGTTCTGCGCCTGCATCCTGACCTTGACCACGTCGGTGGGTTGAGCGCATACAACCGAGATGCCGCCGGTGCTGATGCCGGCCAGGATCCTGATTCCCACTCCGTTCCTTTTCTTGTCGTTACCTGAGAAACGAAAAGTTTCGTTTAGTCCAGTGTTTCTCAACGGGGTCAATATCGCCCCCATGTAGGCGTTTTTTCATGTTAAGTAACAATTTATATTTTGGGGGCGAAAATAATTTTCTGGGCTATATAGTAAAAGATTATATTAAGAATAATTAGATATTTTATTCGTTATATCGTACAATAATTAAACAAACAACATTATACTAGTCACTAGTCTATTCAATGCAGTACGAATTTGGCGTTAGCCTTGGCCCTCGGCATCGAAATTTTGAAGTGAAGGGGGCGATACTACGAACGGTTTTATTGAATGGGGCGATACTACGTTGAAGGGGCGACGATTCGTTAGAGGTTGAGAAACACTGATTTAGTCCGTCCGATCTTTCCCGTTTCCGCCCGTTACATACGCTTAGCCAAGAAAACGTCGCTGGGATCACCGGCCTGATTGCCTCCCGGCTAGACTTTTCTACCGAATTGGCGCACTGGCAACCAACTAACAGTAAGTTTAAGTCGGTAAACACTGAATTAACAGTAGCCGGTAAAACGAAACGAAACAGAATGGGAACATTTATTCGACGTTTATTTTCCGCCCGTCTTAGCCATTGAGGTGGTAGTCGGCATGGAACGTCGACTAAGAATTTTTCGTTAGTCTGGTACCAGTCGTCGACTCACCCGGTTCGAAGCCCGTTTCTCCCGCTTATACTCGACGAGGGACCAGCTTATTCCGTAGTCTGGCTCCTCTAGAAATTAATCCTTTATTAATTACCTTAATTAATCATTTAGTTTTATAATTATCGATTTGTTTTCCAATACTCGGCACTAATTACTACCTAGTACCGGGCAAACAGGCTGCACCGTTACCTTATTCTCTTTGTTTTCACCAATTACGTTCGTTGCTCGTTCGATTCTTAACGGTATTCCGTTCGCCCTCGGTTAGTTGCGACAGAGCCAGGCCTCACCTGTAATAAATAAAGTATAAAAAATACTTTATGTATTACAGTAGACGGATTGGTCATTAGGCTTCGAATTTGGTTGGAAAGACGGCAAGGAGGCGGCGGTAGTCACCCTTAGTCACGGGTGCATTCCAAATGTCAACTTGAAAATAAGTGACGACGAAGTAATTTCGACAAAACGTTTCCAATCTCGTCACGTCGATAGGTGACGAGCCGAACACACTGGTGGAAATTGAAAGCCGTTGAACTAAGTCAAAGATACGACGGAAGAATTTTATTTGGTTAACAATACGCTAGTGTTGAATTGGTCTCGATGTCATACTAACAATTAATTCAATCAACGGAGACTGTCGGACGCACCCGATCATTCCAGGTTACGTAGGCCGTTTATGAGAGAGGAGATTCGTTTGTGGAGGAGAGATGAATTTTTTACGATGCAAGATTCCGTCCGTCGTTTATTTTCTCCCCGGTGGCGACAAAATATCCGAAAATAATTGCTGGGTATTTGCCAACGGTTTTACTTCTGGGCCGATGACAATTACGGGAGGGGAATGAAAACAGAAAATAATTTTTGCCGCCGTAGTAGTTAAACGGTCCCTTAATGACGATACCGGAAGAGATTTTGGGTTGGCCCATCGTTCGCCAAGTGACCGAGATTGTACTTTCGGACACCGTTACTCTAGACATTAGTTTATTTTTTGGAGCTTTTTATTCTTACTACTTGTCCGTTGTCAGTCCGTCCAGGTAAAAAGTTGCAATTCATCTACTTCCCAATTTCCCACCTAGTCGAAACTTTGCATACACGTCTATTGTCAACGACAGTAATTTTTTTAAATAGTTTGCTAATTGTTAAAAATGTTTGCAAAAATTAGCGAATAATTAAAATTTGTAAATAAAATCTGATAACAGAGAGCGCTACAATACACGATCCTTATTTGCCACAATAGGTTTAATCTTTAAGAAAATATTAAAAAATATACAGAAGTGAAAGATCTTGACTACTTTTATTAACCATCTTATCAGCAATTTTGCAGGCCGTACAAGCTGTCGTGTTTAAGGTATCACCAAAGTAATTGAGAGGACTGATCACTTGCTACGTCTAATTTAAACGACTTAGAACTTGTTTTTAATCGAAATATCACAGAGAAGAATATATTGATACATAAAATTAAATGCTAAACTAAGAAGAATTTCGATAGTTCAGTGTGTTACATACATATACTATAACTAAAAAGTATAAAATAAATATATTAAAAAAACATTTTAAATTAACGCTTTTTATTAATAAATTTATTTTTTACTACTTCTTAATAGATGTTTCGATGACAAAAACAGTCTTCCTTTTGACTGGGCGCGTGAACGTCCCGTGACCGACGTATTTTCTATCGTCGTTCTACCTCGAATGGGTCGGTGGACGAAAAAGAAGGATCCTTCGACTTCGTCCTATTCTTTCTTATTATCAAAATATTGATTGTAGTGTTTCCGAGATAGCCTCAGGATGGCGGAAATCTCCGGGACAATTTGTCGACCGATCCATCCGAAACGTTTGCTTTTGTTCAATAAACCTACCAGTTTTATGTTTTTAAATGACCTTCAGTGATTGAATCTACGCAAAAAGTAAACCTCGATCTTTCTCTCCTTTCGAATTTCTAGTTTTAGAAGAAGTTGGACGAAAATTGTCGACAATAAAAAGAACGTGCATAGAAAATCGGAGCAACGACATTTAATGCCACACCTCCTTTTTTAAGCGAAATCGTCGCTAACAAATAAAATAAATAAAATGCAAAATGCGAGAAAAACTGACCGTAACAACTTTACGAAAGCCGAAACTCTTCGACCTCGAGGATTTTTTGCAGTCGTTTCTGTCGAAATTCATTCTACCTTCGTTCTTTTTTTTTTTTTCATTTCAAAACTTAGAAATAAAAAGCACGACATTTCACCTTTGTAAATGGAAAAAGTTTATTTTTAGAATTTTTTTTAAATATTTCCAAGAACTCGCCGATTCTTTAAGGACTCCAGGAATGAAAGACGTCGGCGGAAGAGAAAAAAGTAACGGTTGGATTATATTTGGAGGAGAAAAGAAGGAATCGGTGGAGGATAGATATTTTATATCTATGTACAGTACAGTACTAAAAGTCTGAGAATGTTTGGCCAGTGGTAATTAGAGTAAAAACGGCGCAAAACACCGCCACGTATTAAAGAATTCCATATCCCGAACGAAAATAGAAACAAAATAAAACAGGTTTCATTTTAAATGGGACGACGGATTACCGAGTTTCCTTCCCGCGACCTCGTTCCCTACCACGCCGTATTTTAAAGCTGTCCATTACCACAGCCTACAATAAGAACAGCCTAGTCATTTGCTCTAAAAACGTGTGTCGATGCCTGNTAGGGGGAGGCAAAATTTCACAATAAATAATAATAAGAATATCTTGTAAAAATTTGAACCATTTAATTTCATATTATTGTCGCATCTACTATTCGGACCGATTGAAATGAGCACGGAATTTTTCATTACTTATTCTGTGACGAAACTGAATTTTAGTCTTTTAAATTGAGATACCTAAATAAGGAGGCGGCGAAATTTTCCTCCGCCCCGGGCGCAGTTTTCTGCTCTTAATCTCGACAACGCAGTTAGAAAGATGAAAGACGAGATCAAATATGAAAACTTAGCGGCAGGAGACCCCGATTAACTATATACGAACTTCCGTTGCAAACTGGAAGTAATATTTCAATTCAAAAATTTTTAGATGACCGGCACGACTCTATTAATAAAGGAAAAGTATGATGTACGCAGGCAAGCCACTAGTAATAATTTGAGGTGGAGAATATATATAAATTAAAATAAATTAAAAATATGATTAAAAATTGCAGCCCGGCATTGTGATGACGTCACAACAAATAATTGCTCATATCCATTTTCCTGAATAATTTTTGTCTGTTTTGGTTCTCTGAATTGCCACCTTGTTACTTTTGATAATAAAGTAAAACATTTTATCCATTCATTTACGGTAGTCTAATAAATTCTGATCTTTCTGTATGTAAACGTAGATTTTTTCACTAGCCTTCATGTTTCGGTAGATCTCTCGAATTATAATTTACTATTTATTTCAGCACAAACTGTATCGTATGCAACTGTTCACGATGCGAGAAGGAAAGTTAACAATACGCTTTCGAAAAACATGCCAGGAAGAAACAATTTTCATTGCATGTTTTTCGGAAGAGAAGAAATGGCTTTGAAATAAGCGACAACAATTTTCAAAAAAGGAGATTAAAAATTACAGAATAATTTGTGTTTCAAACTCCAGTAACAGATTATTTGGGAGGATTCTTAAAAGGACACTAGAAGATGGAATCTAAATTTCTGATATCCAATGTGGGTTTACAATAATAAAACCATGCATCGACAATATTTTCACTTTCTTGTTTAAATGTTCTTATTAGAAGAGGTTAAATTTACAAAGTAATGACACTTCATAAAATAAAAACCGCCATTAAGGACGAAATAATTTAAAACCCGAGAGGGTTCATACTATGTTGTAGACTATCATCCCAACGACGAACTCCTGTTTGTGATGGTGTTTTATTCTGCAAATTAAATAATCGCATATATAACTTTCGGTAACGAAAGCTTTTGTAAAAAGTATTTAAAATGAAAATTGTATTTTTTATAATATTTATAAAATGCCAAAAATATAATTTAAAAAATTGATTTCTGAGAAACGAAAGCGGACGACTTTAAGCACGCGACAGGATATTGACACTCGCGTCATTAACCCGCGCCTACAAGACCTTTTTTACATGTTTTAATTACTTATAGTTTCCTACTTTGCGTTATTGCACACTTAACGAATTCTTATCTTATTTTATCTATTATAAAGTGATCGGCTTAAGTTAATTCCTATAATTACTTTCCACATCGCCACTCTTCCGTCGGTGACAAAATGAGTTTTCACGCCACGATCCGAAGTTCATTTAGATATTACGTTATTTTAATACAACCGGAAGTCAGGCGGTACGAAGAAGAAAAAGAGCTATCAAAAGAGCGTAACAAAACGCGACGATCGATCTACTCCGTACCGTAACAGCAGTTGGAGGGATATCGGATAACTCGCGGCAGATCGAATATTATAAATTTAAAAACACCAAGCGCTTTTTTATTATCGTATTTTTTTATAAACTTTCGTACGATCGGAGAAAGAAAATCGCTTTATATAAGTTAACCGACGGTTGCCACATTTTAATATTTATAATTTCTTTCTTCCCGACGAAAAGCCCCGTTCGTCCTTTCCCCGCGAAGGGTTCGTCACAACCATCACTTCGGCTACGGGTTACCAAGAATTTCGGTAATTTTTTTCGATCTATCCGTGGCGCTGGCCCTAAACAGATAACTTGAGCCGTTTACGAACCTCATTCCTAAAGGAGTGGCTGTCCCATTCAAATAAAAGCAAATGACGGTTAACCGATTTTTCTCCCAGAATCGAAGTTATATTTATAATCGAAATTTAAATCTACAGAGAAAAAGTAATTTTAAAAAACTGCCGTTTCCGTTAAGGAATATTTAAGAAGTACTGGACGGTCGACGAAATTTCGGTGGTAATTAAAAAGAAGAATTATTTGTCCTCCGACGACTCTCGACTTGTTAAAATTCGGTAAGAAATGTTTATTTCTCTTCTTCTTTGCTTCGGAAAATAGAAATAATTATTTCCATTCGATACGCAATCTCCTCTTTGGGTTTCGTTCGGTGGCCGGATAAACGTAACGCCGGACTTTCGACCGTTCTTACGTCATCACGGACCTTCGAATTATTAATAGTCGCGCTAATGGCGGCCTATCTAACCGCCACCAACTAATCCGATATCCTTGGAAGCGTGGCTATCTCTCGTTAGAGGGGAAAAAAACCAATTATCCAATGATTCAAAGTTCTTTACCTAAAATACAATTAACTCGTGTCGGAATAAAATCTATTTTTGCTCACTTTACCTGTGTAATTTTCGGATAAAAACTAAATCTCCAGAAATCTTTCCTTTTATTAGCCACGAAGAAGTATTCATTTTTACCAATTTCTTGGTAAAACAGATTACGTCTTCTAGTTTCTAAGTTTCTAAATTATCACTTTCTCGCCTTTTTTGTACCGAGAAATTTATCACCGAACTACGCGCTTCTAAATTATTCCTACGATTAAAGGAAAGAGCTTCGAATCTGGGAATACTCCGAGACTTCCACCGTAGAGCTGTACAAATGATAATTCAAACCCCCTATTATTATACGAGATAATTATTTAATTTTAATTTATTTATGCCGCATACAGACGAACGAACCATACGTGTAATTTTAAATCCGGCTTCCTCTTAACTACAAGAGTTTTCCTAGACCACCTAACTACCCACGAAACGTGTACTTCGTAACCATCTTACGTAAAATTACAATAGTTGGGGCTAAATTTTGTACAAAAAAGTTTCAATCGTAAACAATCTCCCGAATATAACACTCCATTCCATATCCCTTATATCGTTTCGAAATTTTCGCGGTTGTAACGATGGAGGATTTGCGCAACCGTCCCCACAATTTGGGACAAGGTGAATTTTCAGATAATAATACGAAAGTCCCATCGCGATAGCGTTTATCGGTCACCTAGAGACCCAATAATTGATTTTTGAATTATTTGTCGATCCACCCTCGTTTGTGTTTTGTAACTTCTTTTCGCTGTAGATATTTTGCGAACTTTGTTTCTTTCCGCCAAGGAGAATTCGGTTGTCCACTCCTCCTCTTTCTCCTACCTACCCGAGGCGTTAGGTTTTTCGAACGACCTTAGACGAAGGAAGACTCTACTTCGATTGGAAATAAATCAATAATTCCAAGCTCTACCTCGGAATTTATTCCTAAATTTAATAATTGCGGTAAAACCTCGATTAGGCTATATGTTTTTGAAGAACCGTCGGATAAAAGGCGCCAACGAAAAAACATATAACCGGAAAGTGCCTTTCTTTACGGACGGGTGGGAATATAAGGGGGGGAATAAAGGGAGTCACTTTTCATATCCAATACTGGTTATTCGCAATTGCAAATTTTTATAAAAATCGACTCTATCATCGAAATTAAGCTTTTTGTTAATTTATAATAATTAATAATATTAAATGTTTTAATATAATAATAANCACGTACACGTTTACACGTTTAAAACGTGCGCCTCAACCTCTCTAATAACTGGACGAATTCGTTAAAGTGTAAAAATGTAATTACAGTTCGCAGTTTAATTGGATACCTACATACTTCATTAGATAACTAGCGCTGTATTGTTAGTTTAATTAAGTACAATAGTGTCGTACAATTAGTACCTTTTTGTAACCCGTTGTTTCTTTATTAAGTACGACGACTAATTTATATACAAAGCAACGAATTTTACGCTTTAACGGTAACATCGACACTCGATGTCACCGTTAAAGCGTCACTCGAGTTTCGACTATGGTAACGGGGAGTAACACTCGTTAGAATTAAATGAACCGAAAAACTATAAATACGCGAAATTAAAATTGTGACGCACCCGTGCTTCGCACGTTGTAAAGCAAGGAAGAACGTGTAAAGCACGGGCGCGGCCTTCTGTTTCTATCCTTCATTCGGGGATCCGAAAGACAGATGGCAACATGTACAGGTACAGTACAGTATATGGTGAACGGCACCCTACGGCCACCCGGTAACGCCATTAGGTAGGAGTAAACGCGGATCAACCTTTGCCTGTTAACGGGAAAGAAGGGGAGGAGCGAACAGAGGGAAGAGAGACTCACCGGTAAATTTGCCGGTCAGGTCGGAGTAATAGGTCTTGACCGTGTCGTACATGCCGATGCGGATAGAGGCGAAACACATCTGTCGCTGCAGTCCGGCACATAGTCCGTTGTAGACGCTGGCCCATCCCTCCTGTCGGGCCATGGTCAGTAGGGTGCCGGCCACGCCTCGGTACTTCAGTACTCCCTTCCGGCCCAGCCGTCCCTGCGAAAGCATCTCTCCTTGAATCTGAAAAGAATCCTTTTATTACCTTTTCGCCCGGTTCGAAACTAATCAAATAAGTTTCCGGTCCAAATTTCCTCTTTTCCGGATCCTTTATCGGGAGGGGGCAGTTTTATCCCGGCCTTGGGTCGGCAGCCATCGATAACCAACTTTGGAATAGCTTTGATAAAAAGTTATAAATGCTAATAACGAGTAAAATCGTAAGTTCGATCCCCACAGGTGATTTTTCTCTAGCTGTCCATCCCATCTACTTTTAAGCAACAAACTTTAACAGCATGGATGACCCACAACACAAACTGCCCCGAAAGTTTTCTGAAAGTTTTGCAGGTGGTTTATGTATTAGGGGATCCATGCTGTTAAATTTTGGTGATTAAAGTTCGAAGGTGTGGTGAGATAAAGGGGTTGATGAGTCGTATCTCGAGTAGGATCGGACTTGGTGACGATTTTACCGGCTACAAGCATTTACAATTTTTTTTTTTAAAAAAACGCCTTAAATTAAGCCTTTTGCCATTTTTTAATAATTAAGAATATAAATTTTTGTTTATGAAATAACGTAACAGATTGTGCCACACGCAGTTCTAAATGTTGCCGAGAAAGCTAAGCAACCGGTTGCCGGATTTTTTTTTTCCTTTCATTTCTAGTCGTTCCCAGGAACCGTGAATCCGAAAATTAAAAATCTTTTCCATTTTCCGACCGACAGGCACGCTTTCTCGTGTTATCTATAATTGGCGGAAAAATAAAACAATGGTAGAGAGACACGCACCGTTCAAGAGAGGAGAAAGTAGCAACTCACCTGTAGCCTGACCTTGGCCACGTCCAGGGGAAAGGTAATGGCGTCGGCCACGCAGGCGGCGGCGCCGGCGCCCAGCACTTTGACCGGCAGTCCGGGCTCGGAGCGGCCGGGGACGACCACCATGACGATTGTGTAGTAGCGGGAGGTTGGAGGAGAACGAGTTCTTCCGCTGCCGGAAGAAACGAAATTGTTAGGTCGCTCGGTTCGCACGAAAAATCCCGGGTGGATCCTTCTCACCTGTCAGTGCGCCGAATCGACGATTAGTCCGTAGGGACGGGAAAGGTGGTGATGCCTTTCGAGCTGGTTTTTGTGCCGCGCTGATGGACGGATAAAAGTCTTCGCTAATAATTTCATAATCTTTTCCTGAAAAAACAAAAATACCCGTTACTTTTATCCATTAGTCCGAATAGAGACCAGGGAAAGTAAATAATAACCGCAAAGTTTCTTCTTCGGTTTCGTTTTTGGGGTAGCACGCGACGAATTTATCGACCGACTACGATTAATTAAGGGCCCATAGGAAGACGAGCGGAAGGGACGGAGTCTGCGCCCTGGGGCGGGGTGGCCGGTTTCGCCCACTCTCGTTTCGGAGATTTTAGCGGGTGGTGCCGCTAAATCCACCCATGGCCAATTCTTTCTCGGCGGAACCAAATCCGCCGCAGCCCGGAGAAGTGGGGGCGTTTCGTCATCCGCAACGTCGGCCGCAGAACCCGGGACTATTTACGGAAAGAATGCGCCATTTGGACAGGGAGGACGGAATCGGCCGTATAAATATAACCCAGTTATTAATAAAACACCGGGAAAGGTAAATCGAGAGGAAGGTCTCGATCTTCCGGACGGCAGACCTTCAACACCGCACCTTCCGTCCGACGACGACGTCATTTCTCTGACAGTTAACGGCGTGGTCGGGCGGACCGTTTACAAACAATGGCGGCGCCTGCGACGTCGGCCGAAAGGGTGCGACGACGTTGAGGGGACAGCGTAAAAGGGGCGCGGTCAGACCGGTCCAGAAGCCGAAACGCCGCTTTCTCCGCGCGTTATCCGCAGTCGACGGACGGCGCGCCTCCGTTTCGCATCCATGGGGATGAAGAACGAACTTCTTCGGGTCGAGGGGACCGAATAGTCCCCGGGATCCTTCTCGTCCGCCCACCCGAAAGTTTGCGGCGGCGGGTTGATCCGAGGGGGAAAAATCGCTTTCTTACAGTCCGGGAAAGAATAGAAAAGGACAAAAGGGGTATTGAGGTCTTCCTCCCCCTGGCCGGGAAAGAGGGCCGAGGTCGACCGGTCGGAGTCGGGGACGTCCGCTCCGTCCCCGACCGCCGCGCGGCCGACGTCATCCGCCGTTCGGCGGGCGACCCACGCCGACGCGGAAGACTCTTCCGGTTCTACCGCCATCTTTGCCAGAACGAGAAGACGGAAATATTCGCGTGGGGAAATAAAGCAGGGTGGGCCGCGCCGCCGTCAAAGGACGGACGGAGGAAGAGCCGTCCGCCATCCGCGCCGATCCAAAGATAAAAACAAACCGCCGAGAAAACTCTCACTCTTCCTCCGTTTTCCTCCCAAATTCCGGCGGAGGATCCGACCCAGTCGTTTCCGTCAGCCGCAGAGCAGAACATTTGGCCACTTACCTCACACTCCGTCTCTCGTCTCGAACGTCTTTTCCACTCTCGACGCTCCGGCTCTATATAAGTTGGCGCGCCGCCCTCTGCCGGCGGCCGCCGGAACTGCTGCGTCAACGACTCTCGCGGAGCGCGACGGCGCCCGACCCGGTCCTTCCGGCCGCGGACGGTCCCCACGCCGGGGATTTTTCCCGGTGGACGTCTCCTTCCTCTCCCGGCGGAGATGGAAAGGAAGTAAAAAGACGCAGAAAATTGGCGGAGAAAGATACGGTACTTGGCGCGTCCGGTGGCCGGGAGGACCGACTTTCCGGAAACGTGGACCTTTCAGCCTTTGCAGGAAAAGTTGTAGGAAAAATCAGTCCCGGATTTATCGGAAAATGGCAGTTCCAGGGATGACCTCCCGACCCGGAAACATACTCCTGTCTTATTCCGGCGCCGGCGGATAGGTCCGGAATCCGGTCCGATTTGCTTAAGTCGGGACTTTGACCCTCCGTGGCGGCACTTCTTTTTCAGACGACGACGCGTTTTTTAACCATCATCCTGGGCGGTAAATACGGGGAAAAGAGAGAGAAGAGTACCTACCTACGAAAATTCTGCCGGGATGTTCGTCTTTCATTCCGCCTAAATAAATGTCATTTGTATTTTAAACGACGTCAGCCGGTGGAATTTGTTAATTCCTTTTCGTAAGAACGCCCCGCCCCCTGCCCGACGTCCTTTGTTATTTAAACGGATTAATTTTTCGGGCGATAAAATTTCCTTCCCTGTAAAAACACGTTTTAGTTTTTAGACTGTTGTTCTTTTGTCGCCGTTAAAACCAGAAATTTCTACTTTCCTTATTAGCTTTTTCTATAGTGGATTACAAACACAAGTTGATCAATAGAGAGAACGTCGGAATGGCTCTCTCGGCTGCCAAAAGAAAATAGTCGATTGAAAGGTCAAATAAACATTCTTGGAGGTTATTTTACTAGAAATGTCCTTCGGATGTTCTTATCGGCGATATTTCGCACGGTACGCGGTGAGGGAAATACGAATGCACGCGACGCCTATCTTTATACCGGACGACGCTTTATGCGTAAATATCGTTTACCGTTTTGGTTTGGCCACCGGAGCCTGGGTATTTCTACACCGGACGTATCTAAGCTTTTCCGTCCCAAAACGTAATCGTAAAAATGGCCTTTACGACCTATCGGGCCGGGAGATACCTGGGGGAGGTGGTGACGTTTGCCCTTTTCCTAGATGGTTTCCACCTAGGAAAATGTCCCGTTCCTGCCGTCTCCTTTCTCCAAAATAACCAATTCCATTAAGTAAACGATGTATTTAATATCGGAGGTCGAATTTCCAGTCCGGTGGCTCCTCCCCCACTCGGCCCCTATTTTAATTACTTTCCTGGCTCCACCGGTAAATTACCACTCACCCGACCGCGTCAAGCGGCCAGGCTTTTATTCCCGCTTTATCATAAAGCGCGGGTGCTCCCGTAAATTTATCCCCAGGAATTGTGATTTTAAAATTTCACCCGTAGATTCCGACCGTCCGTCCTTCCTTAATCTCCGGAACGAAATTAGACACCGTAGACGAAAATTCAGACCGACGATTAACTACGTACGAACTTCCGGAGTGGATCGAAAGTGGCCAGGTTTTTTCAAGTAAAATGCGACTACAAATTGCGGCCATAAGTAATGGTTACTATTACTACAGTGTTTAAGTTCATTTTCATCCGGAAGATTTCATTCCCGTTCGACGGTATTCCGCTATTATTATTACCTTTTATTAATAGCGGCGACGCTTCCCGTGGACTAGAAAATGGTCCTCCCGCAAGAGTGGGAAAACGCCAGCTGGCCTCCGTAATCCTGGATGAGTAAAGAAGCCTTTCGTCCGCATTTGTTTCCGTTATGTTCCGAATTGGAAATTTAATAACGGAAAGTGTAACAGCGTCGGCTTTCGACGTAATGCCACGTATTTACCGGGTGGAATGGCAAACTGCCGGCTGGGACCGGTGACGAAGACGGTCGGTGGTCAACCGTGTACTAAAGGCCGATTTTACCGGGAGAAAAGGCAACGGTAAACCCATCCGTTAGAAATGAACTCGGACGCATCATTTTTGATAACCTACAAGTGCATTTTCTCGCCTTTTATCGCGCGTAATTTTAATTTACCGCCTCGCTCGTTTTAACTTTTCCTTTCTGAAACAATTCGAACAATGTCCAATTTGAGGATCCGAAAAATCACCGGTAACGTCGGATAGGACGTGTGGAATCTGTAAATAAATTACCTCTTATGCGAGTCGGTGAAAAGTAAACCGTCTCTGTTTTGATTTAATACGCCTATAGCTTTACTGTCCTTTTGTTGTAGGCCTAAATATAAGTACTGTAATTACTTTATATTATATTATATATATCTTTATTATTACACGGCTTTAACTTCTTATACGAAAACAAATAATACTTGTATAACGTTAACGTCGACACGAAAGTTTATCGTTTATATGGCATAATTATTTTGACCAGACAAAATATGCAATGCGTTATTACAGCCACATCCGGCAGCCCGTTTACAAATAACTTCTGCCTCCCACTTCCGGTTGTGGCTGCCGCTCTAACTCGTTTTTCGCCTCTGTAGTGTAAAAGTTATAGCCAGTAACCCGTTTGGCGTTTCTTAACGACCTTCGGCCAGCCTCTTTGGTTTGTCTTCTTTTCTCCCACGTCCGAAACATAATAGGTACTTTGGTCGAGAAAACTTCGGCTACGCTCCGACCGTAGCTATGGCCTTAAAAGAGAAAAAATACCAGTTATAATTATTTAGCTGGCTCCCGTACTTCCCCCCGGATTCATTCTCGGTAAACCGAATGGGTAAAAGGGACGGCAAGTTTATTACTATCCATCTTAAAATATCCATTGTCGGCCAATCTAACTCCTCGCGTAACGCCGGAGCTCTACTCCATTTACTTTTAAGACTTTCTCCCGGAATATAGCCGAACGAGACTCGTCCAGGTGTAATTTAATGCTTTCGTGGACGATATAAAAATTTCCATAAGTGGCAGATATAGATACTTCCGACGCTAAACTGTCTAAATTCCGACTCGTTACTCTATCCGCGAGTAATAAGTGAACTTTAGATTGCTTACGTCCGTTGTACTTTAGAGATTAAATTATATATCGAAAGTTAAGCCAACATTGTGCCAGAGGAATGCGATTTGACAAATATATATTTTTGTCGAATTATAACCCATTTTCACCTATTTTAGGGCACATTCACGCCAACGACTTTTACTCACTCCGTAGCTACTACAGAAAACTCGCCGAAATTAGAATCGGGTACTTCGGATGAGTCGACTGTTCCATCCATCGTTTAGTAACTGCCGCAAAATAGGTGCAACGGGTGGCCAGGAAACTGTCGCACGAAGTTCGACGCGTCCAGACAACGGACGATTATTTTGTCGCAACTCCCACCACTACCTCTCGTGTTTTTAGTTTTCTTTACCTTATTGTTCGAATTAAGAGTGATTGCGCGATCTTGGGAAAACACATTTGTTCTTTCTCATTTCTTAATTCTGTTCGTTTCCGCTTCTTAAATCACGATATACGGTAGTTTATAAAACTGCCCCTTCAGTCAACGCCGGCCTATCGATGGATAAACCCAATATCGCCTTTGTATATTTTTCTTACGGAGCGAAATACGCGGCGGCTCTGCCAAATCCAGTTTCGTACCGAAAAGTAGAAATTGGAAAGTTTCGGATATTTCTTAGTAGTAACTACAGTTTGTGCCCGGTGCCAACGTTTACGCCATTGGTTGCACTTACATTTCAACCAATGGCGTAAACGTTGCACCGTATTTATATAACGCCGGTGTGGTCGGGTATGAGATTAATTAATCCGCCAGAAGTGGCGACTGGAGATTTTTCGTGGAGCGACTAAAAGTCGCCAGCATCAACCTGCCCTAAGGGTACGACTATGCAGACGCGAGCGAGCGAGAATATGTGGCGAGAAGAGACGAGAAGCGATAAATATCAAAACCTGTCAGATATGTGCGAGAACCAGAAATTCGCTCTCGCCAGCGTTATTTCTCGCTTCTCGTTTGTGCATGGTTTTCCTTTGCGAAAACTAAATCGCTCGCTCTAAATTCGCGTCTGCATAGTCGCACCCTTATGTTTACGAATTTTACCCTTTATGCAATACCTGAGATTCGGAGTTAAAATCGCTAAACACCATGACGACAAAGAGTCAAATGTCGTTTATACCTCGACACTGAGACTTTGTAATTTGTTATAGCGCTTTACAAAACTACGCCTACACCGGAAACGTGTGTCCTAGAAACTCGATACCAAAGCTCGTCTGAATATTGCCCAACTCGGACGATATCGTCTTCGTTTTCGTTACGCCGTAGAAACTCGAAAAGCGTAAAATCGGCTCTTAAACTGTTTTAAAATTGAAAGGATTCTTTCGTCCCTGCGGATAGGCCTCGGAGAGAATGTTTGAAGGAGAAGCGATTCTTTCGCGTTATCTCTAATTGTCGACGTAAAGTATTCAAATTGTAAACAAATCTTCTCACGTGTTTTCGCGTCGAGTTTATTATCGCAGTATTTTGAATGCGTTATCGTCGATGGTAACTATTGTTCGACTCTGATCTTTTTACTTTTGCCCTCCGCTTCGATAAATCGTCCTTACAGTAATATTCCTTTAGAATCTTAGCGATGATCTTAACGTATCGTTAATATTTGAGCGCCATGGCGTTTTTAAATATTAGATTTATTAAGAATATTTACTTTAGGAAATACGTAAGATATTAACTAAAGTCCGTCGCCTTTCTCTCCATTCGGACGATTTGCGCGGTCAAAGTTAATTATCGACCTAATAAAGCTACTTTTATTTCGGAAATCTTTCGTCTCCGTCTCCGTTTACACCTTTGTTTTCTACTCTTAGAAAATATAACAATATTTTATTTATTTGCCCACTCTATTTCTCCACTCCTCACCCTTTTAATCATCAAAATTTAATAGCATTGCTGCCCTTATAAGCAAGCTATCGCACAAAAGTTCCGTTTCTTAATTAATAATTATCGCATCTTGACATATTAAACAAAATAGATGCCAACAAGCAAACACACATATCTACGAACCCGGGAAAGTAAAACAAACCATTTTCCCGTGTTTTACT